TGTCTGGCATTCAGGTCACTCTGATGCAAAAGGTGGGCTCCCATGGCCTTGGGCAGCTCCACCCCTGTGGCTTTGCAGGGTACAGCCTGCCTCCCAGCTGATCTCACAGGCTGGTGTTGAGTTTCTGCAGCTTTTCCAGGTGCACAGTACAAGCTGTCAGTGGATTTTCCATTTTGGAGTGTGGAGGATGGTGGCCCTCTACTCACAGCTACACTAGGCAGTGTCCCAGTGAGGACTCTGTGTGGAGGCTCCAACCCCACATTTCCCTTCTGCATGACCTAGTCAAGGACCTCCATGAGGACTTTGCCCCTGTAGCAGACTTCTCCCTGGATATGCAGTTTCCATACATCCTCTGAAATCCAGGTAGAGGTTCCCAAAGCTCAGTTATTAACTTCTGTACATCTTCAGGCTCAACTCCATGTGGAAATTGCCAAGGCTTGGGGCTTCCACCTTCTGAAGCAATGGCCTGAGCTGTACCTTGGCCCTTTTTGGTCATTGCTGGAACAGCTGGGACACAGGACACCAAACCACCAAGTCCTGAGGCTGCACACAGCAGGGAGGCCTGAACCTGGCTTAGGAAACTATTTTTCCCTCCTAGGCCTCCAGGCCTGTGATGGGAGGGAACTGCTGCTAAGGTCTCTGACATGCCTTGCAGGCATTTTCCCCATCTTATTGGTGAGCAGCATTTAGCTCCTTATTACTTATGCACATTTATGCAGCAGGCTTGAATTTCTCCTCAGGAAATGGGTTTTTCTTTTCTACTGCATCGTTTTCAGGCTGCAACGTTTTCAAACTTTTATGCTCTGTCATTTCTTGAAAGCTTTGCTGATTAGAAATTTTTTTCACCTGATACCCTAAAGCATCTCAAGTTCAAAGTTCCACAGATCTCTAGGGGAGGGATAAAAAGCCCCCAGCCTCTTTGCTAAAGCAGAGCAAAAGTGACCTTTACTCCAATTCCCAACAAGTTCCTTATCTCTATCTGAGACCACTTCAGCCTGTACTTTGTTGTCCCTGTCGCTATCAGCATTTGGTCAAAGCCATTCAATAAGTCTCTAGGAAGTTCCAAACATTCCCATATTTTCCTGTCTTCTTCTGAACCCTCCAGACTGTTCCAATCTCTGCCTGTTACCCAGTTCCAACATTGCTTTCAGATTTTTGGGTATCTTTATAGCAGCACCCCACTCTCTGTGGTACCAATTTACCATAGTAGTTTGTTCTCATGCTGCTAATAAAGACATACCTGACACTGAGTAATTTATAAAGTAAAGAAGTTTAATTGACTCATAGTTCTGCATGGCTGGGATGGCATCAAAAATCTTATAATCATGGGGGAAGAGGAAGCAAACACGTCCTTCTTCACATGGTCACAAGCAGAAGCAGAAGAAGAAAAGCTTCTTACAAGCCACTAGATCTCATGAGAACTTACTCACTATCATGAAAACAACATAGAGGTAACCATCCCCCATGATTCAATTACCTCCCTCTGGGTTTCTGCCATGACATGTGGGGATTATGGGAACTATAATTCAAGATGAGATTTGGGTGGGGACACAGCCAAACCATATCACACTGCTTTATTGTTCTTCATAGAACGTATTAGTATTTGACATTATATCATGTCTTTTCTTTAAGTCTCCCGTCTCCATAAACCATTGTGAAGTCTGTTTAAGTGTATGATACATAATAGTGAAATGGGAGAGTTCCCTGACCCACCTTGCAGGATGTGTGACAGGGGTGTGGCTGTCTGTTTGGCCACCATGAGCTCAAACCCCTTACAGGAGAGGGAGTATGCAGATGGGCAGCTGCATGAACTGAGATGAGTGTTTTTTGACTCTGGCCCCATGGCAGTGTCTAGGTTTGGGTGCCTGTGATTCTTGAAACCCCAGTGTTACAGTGCTCTTTTAGCTCTGCTGTCCACACATGGCTTAAGTCCACATCTCAATGCCCCCTTGATACCCAGGGCCTTGTCTAGCATCCTGGAAGAATCAGGTTACCCATGGATTTGAAGAGTAGTGAATATGGGGGTTTTACTGAGTGGTGGAGGTGGCTTTCAGTTGGCAGGATGGGAAGCTGAAAGGGGAATGGAGTGGGAAGATAATCTTCGCCTGGAGTTTGGCTGTCCTGTGGTCAAACTCCTCTCTGGCTGTCCCTAGCTGGTCTTCTCTTGATGTTCAGATGCTCCTTCTCTTCTTTCCTTCTTTGCCATGCTGTTCTTCTGCTCCTTGGCTCTTCTGCTCATCTCCTCATGAAGCGTGGGCTTGGGGTTTATATGGGTACAGGATAGGTGACATGGTGGACCAAAATGCAACATTCTCGGTGCAAAAACAGGAATGCTTGTTCCCATTTAGGATCGTGGGTTTCCAGGGTTGAGGATGGGGCCTTTGCTGGGGAATCACCCTCTTCTACCCAGTATTTTCCTGTCTCCTGTCTGTGTCAATAGGTACTCAATATTTATTAATCGTGACTATATAGTCATGAATGACTATATATTATGAAATGGGAAATGCATGGTACAAGGAGAATTGCTGTCCTTGAAAAGAAATTTAATTTTTTTTTTGAGGGGGATGGAGTCTTGCTCTGTCGTCTAGGCTAGAGTGTGGTAGTTTGATCATGGCTCCCTGCAGCCTGAAACTCCTGGGCTAAAGTGATCCTCCTACATCAACCTTCCAAGCAGCTGGGACTACAGGCATGGTGTCATCACACCCAGCTAATTTTTTGTGTTTTTTTTTACAGATGGGGTCTTGCCATGTTGCCCAAGCTAGTATCAAACTCTTGGGCTCAGGCAATTAGCCTGCCTCAGCCTCCCAAAGTGCTGAGATTATAGGCATGAGCCATCATGCCCAGCAAATCTAAAATTAAGTTTCATTATCCTGCACAATGTTTAATTTTGTTTTTGAACTCTATATGGATTAAAAGCAGCTTTTAATTAAAGGTCATATTTGTGTCTACACACACATGTATGCAGATGTTTAATCACTGGCAAGCAAATGAGTATGTTAAACTTTTAGGCACTTGATAGGAAAAATCATGTTTTTTTCTACTTTTTTTTTTTTTAACAAGTGCAAAATGTTCACTTATCTCCAAATGGCTGTATCTGCAACCATGTTAGCTATATGCTGAACATTTTAGCTTTGGCCAAAATGTTTAACTACATACATAGTGTCAATTTACAACAAAATTTGACCAATATTTGTGGATAAAAGTCTATATTTTTAAAATGTGGCAAAGATTTTTCACAGGATAAAGAAAGGTGTTGCCCAATAAACTTTCAGAAAGACCCCATCTGAGTTCTGGTGGAATTTGAAGTTGAAACAATTTTTCCATTCATTTTCATCAGCATATTTACATTAATCTTTCTTAAATAGTCCAAAACTCTGTTTTCTATGAGACTTCATATAAATCATCATACGTTTGAGATGGTTCTTATAAGGTATTGTCAAGTACAACTTCCTCAAAATAGGACTAAACTTTAACCACTAGGCATGCACATTTTATTTATTCTGGAAACAGTCCAGGTAAAGCAATGTCATGTTCATTGATAAGTGTCTCTTTTCTCTGGCCTACCTGAGTGTAGGGCACCAAATTGCCAATATAAAAATTGTTGTGGTCTCTAAAATTTTTTTAAAGTTAAGATTTACTATTCATGGTCTTCAAATAAATAATTAACTCCTCTCATCTCTACCAAAAATTGTCCCTTCTTTCTCTGACTCCAAACCTCAGACATCAACATACAAGGTTATCATTTTCTTTCATCTTCTGTATAAAACTGTTAAATGGATATTCACCTTTCTTTTTATAATTATGTTTTACTTTCCTCCATCTCTATTTTAACTTTCCTTCTTTATTCCTTTCCTCCCCATCATTTTTATTCTTCTTCCTTCTTTCTTTTCTCTTTTTTTTTTGAGTTTTATTCCTTTTTTCCTTGCCTCCACAAACATTTATTAGGCACTATTCTAGATATTAGTTATATGGAACTGAAGATTCTAGACCTTAAGAAATTTATTTTTAAAATGTCTAATAGTAGAAGTTTACTTATGAAGTTAAAATACCAAGTCACAGAAAGGATAAGATACTTATTTGAACTAATTCAGCTTATTCAACAAATGGCAGAGCTGATTTATTTATTTGTTATTTTATTCACATGTTAACATAATATTTGTGCAGTAGCTTCTGTGTGCCAAGAACTGATCTAGATGCTAGAGATACAGAAGTGAACCAAACAGACAAAAGTCCCTGACCCCTCTGGAGTATAAAATCTAGTGACATTTCACAGCACATGCTGGCTTTAAGTGTCTGGCCAGTGTCCCAAGTATTAATTGGCTTGCTCCTGTACTGACCGTGCCCGTGAACTTCCTTCTCTTATATACCTATAATTTGCACACGTAAACTTGGATCATCTGTAGCAGAACCAGAATTAAGAGTAGAAAATATTGAACTCTAAGGTAAAAATATTATTAGTTCAAGCCCAAGACAAAAAGATATAAATATGGACTTGTAGAGCTAGTTTCCTACTCGAAGAGACTAGATAAAAGATGCCAGAAACTGAAAGAGACTGAAGAGGAAGAAAGACCATGTGGATAGAAGGGCAGAATATTTATCCTCTCAGAATAGAGACCATTTAAAAAGAATTTTAAAAAGATATTTACTATGACTGGCCATTCTTTGTGGAAGCTATGCAAAGTACAAATTTGACTTCTTGTTGCTGAGTGTGGTCATAATTCCTGTTAATTTTAAAGTTGGAAATGCCACTTTTATCCTTGAGACAGCCCAGCTATTACATCATCTTTACTCCTATAGAAATATTAATACGGTCTGGAATATTTGTTACCCACCCATATCCATAAACTAGAGGGTAGGGGACTTGTAGGGTAGAGATATCATTAAGGAAAAGCCTTAACAATAGTAGGAGTTGGGATAGTTTGAAATAACCCACTGAACAGGAATAGCTGTGAACCATGTGGCTTCTGTTATCCACTTAAAAGCTTCTGCTTCTGGTTTAGGTCTGCACTATAACTAGAACTCAAGCAAGCAAGATTGGAGTTTTGCTAAGACACCATAGAAGAACAACTAAATGAGTATGAGTAGTAACAGACAAACTTTCTTATTTCATTCTCTCTTTATAGTAATTGTGCAGCACTCACCAGTAGAGCCATCCTCAGCTATTAGGAATGTCACTATTACTGCTTTATATAGGCCCCTTATATTTTATTAGAGCAAATCAGTTCTATTTAAAAAAAACCTATTTATTTGGTTTGATATTTTCCCATCTCCTATCAATGCAATTAGAGTTATTTGAGTTATTTTTTAAAAACTTATTTATTTATTTATTTATTTTTGAAATAGAGTTTCCCTCTGTCACCCGGGCTGGAGTGCAATGATGATCATAGCTCACTGTAGCCTAAAACTCTTGGGCCCAAGTGATCCTCCCTACTCAGCCTTCCAAGTAGCTGGGACGACAAGTGTACACCACCACATGATTAGTTTTTGTATGTTTTGTAGATACAGGGTATCACTGTGTTGCACAGGCTGTAACACTGTAAGAGTTAAATGACTAACACATGTAAAATTTTAAGGAAGCTGAGGAAAAAATAAAAGATAAAGGTAACTACCTTTTAGATAAAATGTTTTAAAAAACATTTTATCTAAAAGGTAGTTACTGAGGTTTCAATCTTCAGATCTCAGGGGCATAAAACTGTAACAGGGTTGCCCATCAAGGACTAAATAGGAACTGCGTTTCATGTCATTATCTTAGTTACTCTGGAACCCAAGCTGATGACACCATCACTATAAGGGACATTGTTGGCAGACAGAAAGGGAACACAGTAAAGGATGAACTTCCTTTCAATCTTCTTCCAGGTAGTAGCACACTTGACATTACTTGCATTTTGTTGGCCAAAGCAAGCCACAGGACTATGCCTGAGTTCAAAGGAAGGGGAAATGCAATTCTATCATATGCTAGGAAAGAAAAAGGGATCCAAATATTAGGGAACAGATACAATGATTGCCACAGTAGTAAACTTTAAATAATCATTGTTTTTACAAATGGAATAGGCTAGGTATATAACTGATTTCCAAAGAGATTCAGCTACGTTAAAGAATGCAACTATAAGTGGAATTTGTTAAGAAGCTTAAGGATGTTTTACAGAATACCCTAATGGCTTCTTCTCTGATGTCAAAGAGAAAAACCATGAACTTTCGAAACCTTCCTTGGAGCTTGTAAAATAGAATAAAAATCCAGTTTATGAATCAAACTTCCTGCTCAAGATTATCTGTTCTCATATAATCCTTCTTTCCTACAGGCTAGAGATGCTAATTAATTTTCCAGTTTGAATTTCCATATCTCCCCATCGTTATGTACTCCAAATGATAGGGTGTCTGAATTGGCAACTGAGTTTTATATGGAAAAATAGTTAATAAAATACTGGAAGGGCTGGGATCTGAATTAGATCTGAATATAAACCAGGGATAGCATTGTCTCCAGATATCATCATCGGTCTCCAACAATGATTCTCACCATTTGGTATACATCAGAACCACTTTTGAATTGAAAAAAAAAAAAAAACATAGTAATACCCAAGCTCTACCCAAGATGGATTAATTCAGACTCTCAGTGGTGGGAAGTGTGCATGTGCATTTTGAAAAGTTGGGGCAGCATATTGTAATAAGCAGTATAGTTTGAGAAACATTCGTCTGCAAAACAATGTTTGACTTAAGGAAGACTAAAAGGCCAGAATTGTCCCAAGTAGTTACTCTCTTCAAATTTTTTATCTCCCAAACTCAAGAGAATGGATATTGGCACATTGGCTGCAGCAAGTTCACTTTAATGTGACTGGATTGGGAAAAGGAACTAGGAGTACCTGGGGTCCCAGATAGTCCATTGGGTGAAAGGTCAAAGCCAAATATTCATTATTTGTTGCTACTGCTTTTGGCATAAAGATCCAGACCATGTTATTCTGAATTGCAAGATTTACCTGGTTAACCCAGGTAATCACTAATCAGTGGTGAAACCAGACCTTGCTCCTAGCTTAGGGTGGAACTTGGCTAGCCTCTAAACTAATCTTTTATTCTTGCTATTGTCACAAACAACACAGAACTTCCCAGAGAATCAAATGCCATAAATTGCTTTGGAAGAATGGAATGTGTAGTCAGAAGTATGAGCATGGACTTGTCTGAAGCCAAGATACCAAATCAATGGGCATTGGGTAGCCAGGAACACCCTGTGCTTGGATATGGGAGGCCAGAGGCCATTGGCAAAGTAAAATAAGAAGAATGTAAACTTGTATGCACTGCTTGCCTCTTATTTGCCAAGGACTTTTCATGAACCACAATTACCATTCTAGAAAGGTGTTGTTAACTCTACAGAGAAAAAAATTGAAGCTGCAAGAGTTAATGATGATCACCCACAAGTGTGTGGATTTGGTATATCGATTATTTTAAGTTGAAAGCACTTGAGAAACTCTGTTTGCAGAAAGGGCTATCAGAACTGTCCCTTCCTACATATATTAAGCCATAAAAATTCCTTGGAACAGAGTGCCTTCCTTGTACCAGTGTTACAATATTAACCCTTATCACCAGAGACTTGGAGTTATTGCTGTACAAGTAAAGTTACTGAAGAAGCTGTTATCTTCCACTAGCTTTACACACTCCCACCACAGGTCTCCTAATAATCATTCTTCCCTAGAATTTACTGTCTCTAGCCAGATCCTTTTGTCCTGCCATTTCTTCACAAATCTCTCATTCTTTGTCTAAAATGTATTAAAAAATCTCTGCTTTGACCATTTTCTTCAGGTCTTTGGTCTCTTAATGATCCCTAAGCACAAGTAAAAATAATGACACTTATATGCCACTCTCCTCTTAACTTCTCTTGTGTCAATTTGATTCCTAGACCCAGCTGAAGATCCCATTTAAGAATTAAGATGGGTAGAAGTGATCTTTAAACTCCCCAACAAATCTAGGAGATTAAGTAACTGGTTCGTGTTTCATAGTTAATAAATAATGAAGGCAAATTTGAATTATTTTCTTAGAAACTCAAGAGCCCTGCTTTTACTAGTATATTACATGGCCTAGAAGGGAAAAAGGGGTGATACAGACAAACTTTGACAGCATCACAATTTTATGTCACAAATACTTGCCTAAAACTACACAATTTTATTAGACTGCAAATCAGGCTCACTAGTGGAATATAATGTAAAATAAGATGTATTTTTGATTTGACAAGCCTCAGCGGAATAGAGTGGGAGTGTACAAATTTTCATAAAAGCCCAAAGTGCTTTTTGGGAGATAAAACATTGCAAATTTCCAAGCCAGCTTTCAGCACCAGACTCGTGGATGCTCAAGTGTTATTTATTACACTAGCAAAACAAGAGGGACCAAGGCTGAAAATCATGAGTAAACCCTGGAGAGGTGACTCAGGGAGAGTGTTAGAACATTCTTACAGTGGGAAGTTAGAGGTTCACGGTTACATTTATTTGATTATTATGAAAAATATGACCTAAGATATACCAACAATGGTGGTAAGTGGGGCATAGCTACAACATGGCATCACCTGGAATGTCCCATGAATGTCCCTTTTTCCTCTAAGATATTATAGTTTCCCTTAAGGATATTGTCTTCTCTCTAGTCTACTCTTGAAAGCATTTCAAAGCCCCTTATCTCTGAATTCAATATGTTGTAGCCAGTGCCACCCAAATCCCTCAGGGACTCCTTAATACTTTGGGGGCCTCCTTTGAAACTTTTAATTCTTCCTCCCACTACTGGGACTGGCCAGGGTTGCAGTGCCATTGGGAGGAGAATCAGTACCTGCCTCTGACCTGGTCCCATTTTATCCTGTTTGCAGTGCTTTCCTATTCTCTTCTCTGACCCCATGATATGGCCACCCAGACTCCCTGAGGAGCTCTGGGATGTATGCCTCTCAGATCATCTTAGAGTCCTGGACTGGGACTCAGAGCCAGAAGACTGACGTGATGAGAAGATTGTTCCTGCTGGCCAGCATGGTATTTCCTTTGGAGGATCAGGAGAGATTTTGGATGATTCTTATTCCCATATGACATAGGATGAGCTCAGGGCTCTGGCTTTGGAAAGAGTTGGGGTTCAACTCCAGTCCTTGGCCTTGTGAGGCATGAATGGGCCCATGCGTCCACTCAGGCCCAACTATTTTCTAATTGTGGTGCCACCTGTGGTCCATGGCACTAAAGGGCTGTGGTGATGGCAGCAGGTATCTTTAACCCTGTAAGCATAGTCTCCAACTGACAACCAGGGCACCATCCCAATCTCTCTGCAGGTTCTGTGCCAGATATCAGGCACTTCTCCTGGGATGGTCTCACCTATCTCTCTAACCCTCCTTTCTGAGAGCTTTTGAAACCATTTTTCTGCAACACTAAGGGCCCATTCTAATCAATGACTTCTGCTTCTGACAGATATAGCAATGCCTTTCTCTTCCTGGATGATCTTAAATTGTGCATTCTGAATGGCCCTTCCTTCAATGAATGGGATTTTTTTTTTTTAATCATGCCATTGGGCCCTTCATGCATTCTCCTTGCTGGTGGTGGTGGCATGCAGAAAGCAGGGATGGTCAACATAAAAAGAGATCACACTTCAGGAATGCAGTGAAAATGGCTTCATAAGTTCAAGAGAAGACACAGCTAGAAGAAGTATTTTCCTGTTTCTAGGGTGTAAAAAATTCTAAACAGTAAATTTAATAATCAGAAAATGAATTGTGATTCACATTTTCCTTAGTACTCTGGGTAAGACCTGTATTTGTGATCATCATTAATGAAACAGCAACAACCTTTGAGAGAATCATTGGAAGCCAATATTCATGGGTGGCACAATGAATGATTACATTATTACATGAGTAATAATGTAACCAGCATTAAATAAATGGTGTTAGAGAACTGAAGAGGGAAGAAAATTCATCATGTTTCAATACAGAAGTTACCAAAGAGCCATGTCATTATGAGTAATAACAGCATTGCTGCATTTTTCTCTTAGTAGGAGATATGAAATCAGCCAGGGTTGGAACATTTAACAATTAAGAACACAAAGAGATTGTTCTTGGGCCTGAACAGGAAGAGTTTTTGGGCACACACTATGAAGTATTTTTGCATGCAATGATTGGACCATAAACAAATACATAAGTATTTGTTCTCTATCTACTATTTTGAAATTTTATTCAGATGACTGAGCATACCTAATGGGCCTGTGAATTTCTAAATACTTTTAAGGTCCAATTGTTTATATTATAATGTATATAAAAGGTACTTTCCCAGGGTCCTGCATGTCTCAGAGGTGCTCTAATATTAGCAGACAGTCCCAGAGGAAACAGAAGGTATTATGAGATGTCTCCATTATAAAGGGACCTGAATGTATGGAAACACAAGTGCTTTCAGAGAAAATCAGTGTGTATTCCTAATTGGTAGGCTGAGGGCATAGTCTGAAAGAGAAGAAACTCCAAAACATTAATCAGGGAAGAAACGAATAGACAACTTCTGTGCCAGTAAGGAAAAGGGTAGCATCAACATGAACATTAGATACCTCCGAGTGCTAAGCTTTAATAATGGCAAGGGACATAGTTTAACAGTAGGCCCAGATCTTGATTACTTTTCCTAATGAGAGTGAAGCACAGCATGGAAAAGTGACAACTTGAGACAATTCAAAATGTCACATTAGTTTTGAGTTTCAATCTCATCCACAACCAGTCTTCATAAAAACTGCTAATGAGTAGTAAATTGGACTGATTTGAGTTTTACTTCGATTTGCTTCTTGTGCTAATCTTCAGAGAAAGGGTTTAAGGCAGTAGGATGTCATGGATAGTGGATGAGAGCAGAATTCAAGCAACCTGAGTTAGAGCCTTTGCTTTACAGTTAACAATCTGTGTGGCCCAGGGCAAGAAAACAAAGAAATCAGCTGTTTATGAACATCTGTCAGGTGCCATGCACTGTGCTAGGTCAGAGGAGACAGATGAACAGGACGCCCCCCCAACTGCTCACAGACTGGCAATGTAGACTGAGATGTAAAAAGATAATTGGAATATATTGTGATAAGTCTCTTATAGAATTATGAGCAAAGGACTGTGGGAGTCCAGAATATAGTGTGATTCAACAATGAGAAGATCAGTAAGTATACATGTTAGTCAGTGCTGTAAATAACGAAAGTCACATATGTAATTTTAGCATTTCTAGGAAGTACTTTGAAAAGATTAAAAAGACACAGTTGAAATTAACCTTAATAATATGTTATATTTAACCCAACAGATTCAAAATAGCATTTCAACATAGATATTTCAACATAATAACAAAATAGCATTTCAACATAAATAGATATAAAAGTTAATTTTATATCTATTTGCTAATGAGATTTTATATCTATTTAATATTTATCAATAAAATTTACTAATTTTATATCTATTAGTGAGACAGTTTACATTTCTTCTCTAGGTCTGTGAAATTCAGTGTCTATTTTCTACTGTAGCACATGTTAATTTGGACTAACCACATTTCAAGTGCTCAGTAGCCACATGTGGCTAGTGACTACTATCTTGAGCAATGCAATGATAAGCCTGCACTTACGCTGGAAAAGACTTAAGGCAGGGATCCCCAACCCCCAGGCCACAGACTGATACCAATCCACAGCCTGTTAACCCAGCCACACAGCAGGAGGTGAGAGACGGGCCAGCAAACAACATGTCATCTGTATTCACAGCCACTCCACATTGCTCTCCTAACCATCTGAGCCCCCACCTTCTGTCAGATCAGCGAAGGCATTAGATTCTCATAGGAGTGCAGACTTTATTGTCAACCTCACACATGAGAGATCTAGGTTATACTCCTTATGAGAGTCTAATGCCTGATGACCTGTCACTGTCTCCCATCACCTCCATATGAGATTCTCTAGTTGCAGGAAACAAGTTCACTGATTCTACATTATGGTGAGTGGTATAATTATTTCATTATATATTACAATGTAATCATAATAGAAATTAAATGCACAATAGATGTAATGTGTTTGAATCATCCCAAAACCATCCCCTGCTCCCCCAACAGTTGGTGGAAAAATTGTCTTCCATGAAACCAGTCCCTGGTGTCAAAAAGGTTGGGGACTGCTGACTCAAAGTATTTCTGCACTATTTAATGAGGAATTCCTAGCTTAACCTAAGAACATTTGAAAAACACCTAGAGATGTTTAATGTTCTACAACAATGGTTCCAATGCATGAGTTCACAAACTTATAATGATACTGATAAGAATCTCATGGGAAATGTAAAAAGACACACTCTCAGATTCCTGAGATTCTGAATCACTGAGTCTTGAGCAGATCTTAGGAATATGTACATATATGATAAACATTGATTAGTCCTAGGTTTTTCCAGGTTGGGAACTACTGGCCAATAAGCTCCTTATAAGTCACCTGTGGAAATCAAAAGGGCAATTTGATTTCAGGTAGCATTACCAGAATGATCTTCCTCTGTGTGAATGGCCACAGGTGAAGTGTTTTTTGTTGTTGTTGTTGTTGTTTGTTTGCTTGTCTTTTAAATTATACTTTAAGTTCTGATATACATGTGCAGAATGTGCAGTTTTATTACATAGGTATACACATCCCATGGTGGTTTGCTGCACCCATCAATCCTTCATCTACATTAGGTATTTCTTTTAATGCTATTCCTCCCCAAGCCCCACACAGACCCTGGTATGTGATGTTCCCCTCCCTCTGTCCATGGGTTCTCATTGTTCAACTCCCACTTAAGAGTGAGAACATGTGGTGTTTTTTTTTTGTTCCTGTGTTAGTTTGCTGAGAATGATGGTTTCCAGCTTCATCCTCCCTGCAAAGGACATTAACTCATCCTTTTTTATGGCTGCATAGTGTTCCATGGGGTATATGTGCCACATTTTCTTTATCTAGACTATTACTGATGGGCATTTGAGTTGGTTCCAAGTATTTGCTATTGTGAATGGTGCTGCAATAAACAGACATGTGCATGTGTATTTATAGTAGAGTGATTTATAATCCTTTAGGTATGTATCCAGTAATGGGATTGCTGGATCAAATGGTATTTCTGGTTCTAGATCCTTGAGGAATTGCCACACTGTCTTCCACAATAGTTGAACTAATTTAAAATCCCACCAACAGTGTAAAAGCATTCATACTTCTCCATATCCTCTCCAGCATCTGTAGTTTCCTGACTTTTTAATGATCACCATTCTAACTGGCGTGAGATGGTATCTCATTGTGGTTTTGATTTGCTTTTCTCTAATGTCTAGTGATAATGTGCTTTTTTTCTTGCTTGTTGGCCACATTAATGTCTTCTTTTGAGAAGCGTCTGTTCATATTCTTTGCCCACTTTTTTGATGGGGTTGTTTGTTTTTTTCTTGTAAATTTGTTTAAGTTCCTTGTAGATTCTGGATATTAACCCTTTGTCAGATGGATATACTGCAAAAATTTTCTCACATTCTGTAGGTTGCCTGTCCACTCTGATGATAGTTTCTTTGGCTGTGCAGTATTTCTTGAGAAACTACATTGCTTGTCTTCCTGGAGTGGTGTGGTATCTGGAGCCAGCCCTACCTTCAACTCTTATCACTCTATCACTCCCTCAGCCTAGAATGGATGGCATCTCTACACTAGGCTTCAGGAAGGTATGCAGGTTTTATTTTTCCCTTTGGGTCACATTATTTTTTGTCTGATGATTTTCAGATGAATTATCCCAAAGTTGGCTATGCATTACAATGATCTAGATAACATTAAAATTATTTTTCATGGATTCCCTTTTGAGTATAGGAAGTGGAGCTTCTAGAACTCTGTATTTTTACGTATTCTTCAGTAAGCACTTGGTGTGTGGAAAAACGTTGGTGGAGGCAGTGACCTAGAGAATTATTTGAAAATGTGTTGCTAGGGTTTCTGTTTCCATTGATAGATTTCAGCTTTCTTTACCACCATATACAGTAGGAGTTAATGGCCTACGGCAGTCTTTGTTTGATATTTGCCTCTGCAGTTTACTAACTGTGTGATCTTGTTAAGATATTTACCATGTTCAAGATTGTGCTTCCTCATCAGTAGGATGGAGATGATAATATTCAATTTGAGGGCTGGGGGTTGTGTCCTAGGGCTCAGGTCTTGGTTCTTCTTCATGTTTAATCACTCTGTGATCTCATCTAGTCTTGTGGCTTTAAATAGCACCTACAGCTGATGACTTCCAAATTAACATCTCTAATCTGTACTGACTTCTAATCCAGACCAATTTACATGAATATCTGATAGACAGCTCACATCTAACATGCCTAAAACATAACTCTGTAATCAATTTCCAGAATAGTTTTTTAACTCATCTCAGAAAATGACAACTCTGAAGTCCTAGTTGTATAGGTCAAAAACCATAGTTTCTTGTAAAGTGTCTGTTCATATCCTTTGCCCACTTTTGAATGGGCTTGTTTTTTTCTTGTAAACCTGTTTTAGTTCTTTGTAAATTCTGGATATCAGCCCTTTGTCAGATGGTAAACTGCAAAAATGTTTTCCCGTTCTGTTAGTTGCCGATTCACTCTAATGACTGTTACCTGGAAACCGTCATTCTCAGCAAACTGACACAAGAGCAGAAAATCAAACACCACATGCTCTCACTCATAGGCGGGTTTTGAACAATGAGAACATATGGACACAGGGAGGGGAGCACTACACACTAGGGTCTGTTGGGGGGAAATAGGGGAGGGACAGTGGGTGTGGGGAG